AAAAATCACTAGTTTTGAAACATGTGACACCGAACAAATCACTAGTTTCGTTACGTTTCTCGAAAATGACGTAACGACTCACGCCTACTAAATGGTATCGCGGGGCGTGGAGGGGGACGAGGAACATAAACAGCATAGTGCTGTGCTCACACATTCGACACGGCGCTATTGCTATCTCGCTCAGTACAAGCGTGAGGCGTCACGAATAGGGTTGTCACACAGACTTTACCATTTCATGATAACAAATTATTGTACAAAACATTTTTCTGAGAGCACACTTTCTCAGGCATATATTTGTTTACAACGTTAGAAGAGTCGTATAGTAACTTTTTCATTGGAATCATAGGCCATCTATGTGATAATCTTCACATGTACCTATTTTAGTTTGTTTTTTTACACTTAATTTTTTTATTATTATTAGAACAACAACCCTAGTGTGACATGAGTCGCATCACGAGTCACGACTATCCTCGTAATATCCTGAAATGACTATGATGCAATGTTCAGTCTTAAAAAAATATATTCAACCTTTTACGTTATCGTGAAGTTTATATAGTTCGACTACTTCTCAATGTACCAATGATATGATCCTTCAAGTGTTAGGATATGACTTTTTGAATTGGGAAGGTTACCAAATACGACCATACATGATTTTCTTTAGTTTACGCTCTTTTATCTTTTTCAGATTAAAATGTCGCAAGCTACAGAAAAGGAACAAGCTACTTGTGATGAAACAAAAATAAATTCCTTGAACATGAAATTGCCCAATGTTCTTTGTTCCGCTGCATCGATTTCTGATAATTCGGATTCTAAACCAAGTATCCTACTTTCTTCGGAGTCGAAATTATCTCTGCCTTCTAATCTTGGGACACCCACATCTCCGTTGCGATTGTCATCGCCATTATCTTTACCCAATTCACCCACACCTTTCACAAAGACACTCCAAAGCAGCGCTGCGAATACGGATGCATCACGATTGACCTCGCCACAGGAGAAATCTAACCTGCAAACTGCTAATATGAATAGCGGGTCTGCGACGGGTGAGTCTATTTATATTTTACTAGCTATAGTCCTCAATATCCTCCACAAGGTATCAAAAATAACTGAAAAGATTTAAGCGCTTAACCCTAAAGCCCATCACTATTCCACACGTTAAAAGTTGTTACACGACTTCAGAACGAACAATTGACGTGTGTAAGCTAAACACGAACTGTACAATTTAACTGACTTTTAGTTTTAGCCGTAGCATTTAGTGCGAACACATCACTCATCATAATTCTTCCATTTTTTCTTTTTTTAAAAAGGAATAAGATTATACCTCTAGTATCTTTGAAGTAGCTATTTTTGATACAAATACACACTTTCACGTACATTATCCTGCTACATCAATATAGAACATATGGTTATACAGGAAAATGGCGGAAGATATGAACGCGTGTGGGAACTGGTAATTCCAAATCGTTAATTGGGGATAAACGATTTTCGATATCGTTATAACAATTGAGTATAACATGGAGCTATTGCGTATAACTTTTGCGTCGATAACTTCGGTTATATTTATTATCTAATTTCGCTAAAACGACTCTGAGCGATACTTATCGTAGGCGAATCAATGACACGCCTCGGTCTTTTGGCGTCAAGAAATTGGTGTGAAATATTTTGTAAGAATTCAAGCTTTTTTGTGTGGAAATGTATCTAACATAAAAATTAAAGGAACAGTCGCTTGAACCTTTTACTTTGTCATTTAAGTTATCGGTTTTAGGTACTATGTATTTTTTTCGTAAATTGAAGTGTAACATTAAAGATTTTTTTTCGTATATACAGTTTTAACCAAAAAAATGTTTTAACGAATCTATAAATTCTAGAATGTTTTACGGAATCTTAATGAGATTTCGCTGTAGATTTATATTTCATATACCTAAACGTGGCTTTTGATATTCGGGTTAATGAAATAAGAACAAGTGCTCTTGAACTTTCCCCTAATAATGGTAGCTATCTACTGTACTATCTGTAAAGTAGGAAGCCAGGTTTACGAACATCGTTGTACTAAATAATTTCGTTTTAAAATATAGCATTTAGTTTAAATAAGTCGTAAATCTTATCAAGCTGTTTATTTGTATTTATACGTTTACTTTTAAAGAAAAGAAATCGATTTATTCAAAATAAATATATAAACAAGATAAGTAACAGAGTTTTTATAAGCCATAGTTAAATAAACATAAAATTTCCCGTCGATATTTATTTGTGCAATATCCTTATCCGACATTTAAAAAGAAAATGTGCGAAAAAATAAAGTAAATAATCGTAACGAATATACTTGCTGCCTACATCTTTCTTACTAATATTAATTATAATTGTAAATGCGAAAGTTTAGATGGATATATGGGTGTTTGTTAGAGTTTGTAGCCTAAACTGCTGAACAGATCTCAATTATGAGATCTGTTCAGCAGTTTAGCGGTTAAATTTAGCATACATGTAGAAGAGAGTCTAGAAGAATGCATAGTCTACTTGTTTTGTTTTTTTGTATACCACGCGGACGGAGTCGCGGGCATAACCTAGTATTATATTATAATATTATAAATGCTCAAGTTTAGATGGATGGATGGATGTTTGTTAGAGTTTGTAGCCTAAACGGCTGTACCGATTTCGATGAAATTTGGTATAAATGTAGAGGATGGTCTGGAACACATAGGTTACTCACTTCTGTTTTTTTAATCCCACGCGGACAGAGTTGCGGGCAAAAGCTAGTAGAATTAAAAAGATGAAAAATAATAAACAACGGATGTTAAAGAAAGAATTATTTTAACTGATGCCGATATAAGATTTACTCAGCGTTGTGTAAACATGGAAATACCTTTTGTAGGTTATTTTTATTTTCTATAGATAAGCGGTTTAAACATGAATCAAAGTTAATCGTAAAGAAATCTAGCTTCTGTCTACCCATGTAACACTTGTAGTACTTTCTGTTTTCATTTAACATCCAAGTAAATTAAGCGTTTTTTTTTTATTTAGGTAGCCTTTTATATAAAGGTGAAGATTAAAAAAAGTTTTCCTTGAATAGAGATGTAGGCAAACGTAAACACAAAAACATGACATTCGTTAACAAACACTCGTTACGGGTTCTCGCTGTAAATAATGAAAACTCTGGAATAGGGAAAGCCTTCAGGTCTCGGCCCTGAACGTCGCAAATCGCAGTCGAGCGCTGAACGCCGCGGGGGTTGCTTGTGTTTCGCATCTCCCGTTGATCTTAAATTACACCCGATTTACATACGATTTTTAAAATAAAGAACGTAATTGTACTTCCTTTTATATAAATGCTTTATTTAAATGTAATGCGTCGATGTTTTATTTTAAGTTTGTGTACGTCCTTGTCCTAGGTAAAGTGTTTAGCGTATTCATGTACATGCATTTATTTAGAAACAATATTGTGTTAGTGTTGCATATGTGTTTGTGATTAAATCTGTGTTGATATGGTAATATCAATCTGAATTCAACGATTGATATGTGATGTAACATGATGTGATAATCTGAAGTGATGCCTTGTTGTGGATGCTGGTGGCATGGGAGACAGAGACATCGACCCCCTGATCCTGATAAATCAGGTTATTATAAGATACTAGCTTTCTCCCGCGATTCCGTCCGTGTTAAATAAGAAAAATCAAAAGTAAGTAGCCTATGTATTCTTCTAGACTATCCTGTACATAGCCGAATTTCTTCGAGATCCGTCCAGCAGTTTAGGCTACAAACATCCATCCTTCTAAACTTTCGCATTTATAATATTAAGTATATGTTTGTTTTATTCGAATCGATTCTAATGGGGTTTGTGTTTGGTCTACGCTGTTACGTTTATAAACATTGGTTGTAAATACAGTTCTTTTACTTTTTACTAGCGTTTTCTTTTCAGTGCTAGCATTTTTCCAGTCTTCGTGATACTTTACGTTTTTTGTTTTTCTTTGATTCCTGCACAACCCGATAAGTTTACAGCTTTGATACAACTGACTGAACTTTAAGAAGATACTTAGATTGTAGTATACTCAATAAATATAACATAGATATAAATATATAGCATTGAAAACATACATCGTTTACCGAGGGCAGTGACGCAAAACCGTTAGCAAACAACTTGACGAGCTTAAAGCTGCCAAGAACCCTCAAGCTAAAACAAACATCGTCCTTGTGGAGGTATTACAGATAAATTCTACACATTGTCTCTTCAACAATAATTACGTACTTTTAATTTTTTTGTTTTCGTCATAGAAATTCTTACTATTAAAAGAGCAATATGAGACACATTGTAATGTGAATAGATTTTTACTTTATAAATAAAATAGAGTATAAACAAATATTTAATATACTTTTAGTATGTTCAGTTCAGTTTCTAGTCTATGGCACTCCCTTAGCAGATTGGGCCAGTGTCGAGTACTTTTAGTATGTCTTGCTGCATGCTGAAAATCGTTCGAATTCCTTTCCTGAATATTTAAAGAAAGGATGAAAACAAAAGGAATTAATAACTAATAAATTGCATAGGAGTTAGTAAACCACGTCACCAGCAATCTAATGGAATTTATTTCGAATATATATAAGATAACTAACAAAGCCGATTTATTGGAGGTTCACATGAGTCTAGTTGCCTTTGTTGATAATACTCTATACACATATCACGTATAAAAGGAAATTATTGCTCCAAATAGAGCAATATAATATCCGAGGATAAGAAATTATTACTTGAATAAATCGGGGTTCTTGTAAGCAAATATCCGCGATCCTTATATCGCACGAATTTAATGGCCGAATCACAAAGAAGGATTTGTTTATTTTTATTTCGAGAACCTTCTGCCTCTAGGCATTTATTATAACAGTTGATAAGTTATAAAAATTTTATGGAGTTTTATGAATATTGTTAGGGTATATTAATGTTTTGTTTATGCCATAATCATACTATCATACTAATATTACAAATGCGAAAGTTTAGATGGATGGATGTTTGAGTTTGTAGCCTTAACGGCTGAGCGGATTTCGATGAAATTTGGCATAGACGTAAAGGATAGTCTGGAAAAACACATAGGCTACTTGCATTTGTTTTTTTTTTCGCGTGGACGGAGTCGCGGTCGAAAGCTGGTACAAACCTATTTCGATTATAACTTTGTTATACGAGATTCCAATGAGTAATTTTAGTAAAACTAGAATAGTGCTAAAAACAAATGAATTAAGTCTTCTCGATTCTTTTTATTTTTGTGTGTGTTCCAATACTTTTTGTTATTGAAAGGAATATCCACTCGGTTTATCAGAGAAAAAAGGTTCGGTCAAGTGCGTCGATAAAATGGGAGAAAACGTTATAACGAAATTTCTTTTATTTCTTCAACTGTGAATTGGGAAAGGGATAACTGTTTCGTAATTTACAATAGCAGAAAGCTTTATTTATGTTTTTTGAATAGAATTGTAACAGAATTTCCTTATCCTAATGGTTTTTTTTTACAGAGTGTAACATATTACCTAATTCATTTTAGGTAACTAATGATTAATATGGTCTTTCTTAAATATATATCATAAAATAATAATGGAGTCAATAATTTCTTTTACCCATAAGATAGGATACATAAAAAAATAAAAAAAAACATACAGACGAATTGAGTACCTCCTTCTTTTGGGAAGTCGGTCAAAAAATATGTTAGTATTCGCTAATTTTTGCAAAAAAAGGAAAATTATCGCCCGCTTTCATTTATTTACTTGATTTAAGGACTTGGACAGTAAATACAAATAAGACATTACGCAAGCAACTCACGTACGGAACGAACGAGAACAAACTAGGCATTGTTATTGTGTAGATATCGTCCATTCTAATTGAATATTCTGTATGAGGGGAAGTACTACACAAGTACACTTCAGCAAAGAAAGTTATTGTTTTCATGAAGGAAAAGACACAAGTATTATACAACAAAGAAATTTTCCTTTTTTATTTCTTCAACTTAATGTTTTCAACTTTTGAAAATGCACGTGTCCATGGTAGCCGTCGGCTGATAATACTGACTTGGTATATAGGAGACAGCTGGTATATGTTCGTATGTGTGGTAGTTTTTATATATATGTTATATTTTTGGAGTCTGTAGCGTGAGAATTACCTCCTTCCCCTTTCCATTGTAACATCAAGTACGTGTTTAATAATAATTTTATTAATGTTATCAAAGAATTAAAATAGAAACATGTTTCGTAAAGTGGATCTCTCCTTTTCTATATGAATCACTAGCTTTAGCCCGCGACTCCGCCCGCGCGGAACTAAAAAAACAAATGTAAGTAGTCTATGTGTTCTTCCAGACTATCCTCTACATCTATGCCAAATTTTATCGAAAGCCGTTTAGGCTACAAACTCTAACAAACAAGTATGAAGTACGATTAGTATGATAATATGACACCCAATATTAATTTGATTTCGTAACCGGATTGAGTATTTATTGCGTGCAGATAAACTATGATACATAGATAAAGGTTTGATATAGAAATCAGTTATCAATATTGTTGAAAAGACCAATATCATAGCCACATTTTTAATGTATAGACATCCGGTTTAATGCATCAGTTCAGTATTCCATTTCTCCAAAAGTATCTTTGGCAGGCTGCATTGAGGTAATATTAGCAATTATGTATAAATATAGATACGTGAGTCAGATCTGTAGTTATAGACCGACTAGGATATCTGATCGGTGGGCAGAAATCAAAATAAATTATCACAACTGACTAGCGCCCCACTGTCTATGTCATAAAAGTGCTACAACATATTTTTTTGTATTGTAGTCATGTTTTATATTTTATACCATGTTCTGTACTCGTGTAGATTTCACATATTTTCTGATAGAGCTAACCGCAATAGCAGCTCTTCTCTCATCGGGCCAGATATCGTCGTTCGCCTATACTGCCTGTATGTAAACCGTTTACTTATTTTAGAGTGAGATGTCTCGATTCGAATTCTGACTCAAAGCGTTTAGACAGTGGAGCATCTTTGGGTTGGGTTTAAAAAAAGCAAAGTGAGTAGCCTATGTATTCTATCAGATTATCTATGCTAAATTTCATCGAGATCCGTTTAGTCATTTAGGCCACAAACTCTGACAAACATCCATGTAAACTCTCGCTTTTATAATATAAGGTTCAAATGACGAACGGAAGGTTCGTTATGTTAATAAGTCCCTTAAATGGATGCGGATGTCCATGGGCGTCGTTGACCACCTTGGTGTTCACGCCGCTCGTTTGCCCCCTATTATTATGAAAAAAAATATTTAGGACTCGTATTTCTATAGATATGAAAATCGTGCTGTCTTTTAACTTAATATTCTATTAATCCGCTTAGATCTGTACAATGCTGCGTTTAAAATGAAACGTAACGAAGCCAGAGATTAACTTAATTACATTTCGGTGGGCTTCATAATTTGATTGTCATTTAGACAAATGGAGAACCAGTTTTAAATTGTTTTATAGTTATGAATTTTAAACAGATGTTTTTTTATTATATCATTATTATAAAAGCGAAAGTTTAGCCATCTAAATCAATCCATATGGATGGTGGATGTTTGATTTAGTTTTTAACCTAAACTGCAGAACTGATCTCGATGAAATTAGGCATAGGCAGAGAGTATACTGGGGAAGACCAGGCTATTTACTTTTCTTCTTTTATTTCTACGCGAACGGAGTCGCGACTGAAAGCTAGTTTTTAAATAAGACTTAAGATGAAAAGGATCGATCGAGATAAAGTCGGCCCAGAATAAATTATCACTGAAAAAACACAGACTATATTTATAACTCTTTTTTTATTCCTTGCAGACGAAGTCGCGATTATAAACTAGGCTTATAGATCACGTAAGTAAATTTGTTCGAACCTTTGTGTTCGTGTTAGAACAACGTACATGTTTATCGTCTGTTTTACATTATCGCTATCCTGAAATCATAACATGCTCTAAACTGTGAACGTAAGTTTCGTTTTATAAAGGAGATTGCTATGGACGTATATGTTTCTGTACAAATGAAAATGTTTACTATGCGATATTTGAAAGATAGTAGTGTTTATGGGAATGGGTTCTGCTAAGATAATCCACAGAGAACAGACTTATTGTCAGATTGTTTAGTCAAGTCAGTATGTGTATGGAGAAGCGTACATTACACCGATTTTGTTAATGTCATTAAGCTCAAGCCCGACTCGATTAAACTATCGGCCGTTAAAAGTTTACGGAAGTTTTAACAGTGGTATATTAAGCTACTACGTATTTAGTAACTCAGAATAAATTATATTTTGTTAAAAAATCTTTGTGTAAAAAATAAAAGTAAAGCGTGGGAAGTCATGAACAAGAAGTTACTATTGATAGATGTCGTAAAACTTTTCTTTACGATAAGAAACTGCTTTGAGATTTATAAGGAAATCTCAAAGCTTGCTGGAATTAAAATTGGCTGGAGTTTGGAAACTTTTTTCAAACTCGAGGGAACGGATTTGCGTTGCTCGTATTTAAGTATTTAAACACGTTTCAAATGCTATTCATACTATGAATTTAACACATTAAAATAAAAGATAAAGATAAATATAGGTTTGTTTTCCCTTAACACAGTTTACATAATCTTATTTATAAATTACAAGTAAGAAATTATAAGACTAAACTGTTATAAATTTCACAGAGATATTTACAACTAGATCTAAAGATGTGTTAGTATTATTAGTTAATTCACATTAATGTTTGTATAAAATTAGTATGGTTAATATCACTCTTGATCCTCTGTATAAGGGCCGCCAAGAGTGGACAAGCCTCCTCCAGATTCTTCCATGTAGTCTTGTCTGATGTCAGTCTGGTCCAGCAGCGATCTTTACTACGACGTCACTCTATCTCAAATGTGGTTGACCCTTTCTTCTTTTATTGCTAACGGGACACCAGTTGGATATTGTTTTTCTCCATCTCTCATCGCTAACTCTCGCATTAAAATATCTATTTACTATTTGAGTCCATCTTAAAACTTCTATTTTAAATATTTAAGCGTATCTGTTTACACGCAAATATTTCGGCTTCTTTATATTTTGGTAGATTATTAGGAGTTGTTTGAAAATTATTGAAAGTTATTATTGAAAAATCAAATAAAGCTATAACGTTCTCTGGCACGTTTAAAATTCGTAATTTGTAATATTAATTTTATATTTGAGTGCTCAGAGGGAGATGGGAATTTTATTCTTAATAAAACTTATTAAAATTCAGATGAAGTAAAATCTTCAAATAAGTGAAATATCAGTTGATTTTTTTGCATATTTAACATGAGAAAACACGTTTATTTACAAAACAAATACAACCTACAAACTGTCAGGAACTGTCTCATTTTGGTTTTAAGGTTTATAACAAAATTATATTTAATATCTGTTACTATAAGATCGTTCATACAAATTTTTTCACATATAATTATTTTTACTCAGGAAATCCGCGAAACAAATGTGCTCTTCAACCCGGCCACAGTCTTATGGATTGGATTCGACTCGGCAATTCCGGGAAAGATTTAACCGGCGTGGGTGGTCGGATGAGGCCAGTACATCCATCGGAACTTGCTGCTCATAACACAAAAAGTAAGTAAACGGTTTACACGACGGAAGATTCTGAGAACGAATGCGAACAGAACCGCACGAAATTTCACTCATGGAAACCTGCCTTAACACAAGTGTATTCCGATATTTTAAAAAATGTTCTACAAATCTGGTTTTGTTTTAGATGACGCCTGGCTTGCGATACGCGGTCGGGTGTACAACATTACACATTACTTGCCATATCATCCTGGAGGTAAGTTTAATTTCTTTCCCGTATCTTCCTTACGTTTTGAACAATGGGTTTTATTTCGTTTTATTACATCTAGGGCCTGAAGAACTAATGCGCGGAGCGGGTATCGATGCGACAGAGTTATTCGACAAAGTACATCCCTGGGTAAACTACGATTCCCTTCTCGCCAAATGTTTAATCGGTCCTCTGCGCTTCGATAGACCAGACGCCGAGGATATCTTCGATACCATCAGTTCATCGTCCAAATCCGAACGATTACGTGAGCCGTCCAAAGCTCAAGAACTTGTTAGGAAATCTATGGAGAATTTAGCTAATTGTATAACGCCGGTTAGAAAAAAAATAAGTAGTAAAAGTGATGATAATGTGAAATCTAGTCCACCGAGTAAAATAATGCAAAGTTTGATACATTCGAGTGATTTACCTGTGACGATTAGTCGGAGAGCGGGGTCAAGTCCGGTTAAAAGTGAGAAAAGCAATGACGATAGTCCGCCTGCTTTGCGCTTTGACTGGATACAAACTTCGACGAAGCTCACTATATCAGTGTACACTGGATATTTAGCAAATCCGGGCGGTTGTGCCAGATTAATAGACGGGGAACTACTTATAGAAGTTGTAACTAATGAGTGGTTAAGAACTATCAAAATAGTACCGGAACATGCGCTTAGAGAACCTTTGCAGTTACGTGTTTTTGCTGAAAGTGGAAAGATTGAAGTAAGTATAACTACAATTCATGCTCGAACAATAGACGACTGCTTCTCGCTCACTAAACATACGCCCAAGTGAGAGGGCAGAAAACTTCGCTTAGTTGTCCTATTATTGTGCATTTTTAGTAAGAAATTGCTCTTCAATTTTACTTTTAAACACGGTGTCACAGAATTTAAACAATCTTTAGGTAATTGCACAAAAAGCGGAAATGAAAGTATGGAAGAATTGCGGAGAGACAAGCTTAAGTAATGCTGTGAAGATGACAGCTGCGAGGACGGTGGAGTGCAGGGTCGAGGGGAGCAGTGCGGTATCACACGACACCGTGCTGCTAGCCTTGACGCCCAGATCAGGCCCTGTGGTTATACCTATAGGGCATCACGTACGAATACATCAAACACTCGCAGGTAATAAGCATTTATGTGCGTGGCTAGTAATCAAATATCCTAAACTCTTGTTCTCACATATAGATTTTTCTACAAAATATTCATAAAGACTTCAATAGTCTTGATTCGAAGTTCATTAACTAGGTCAGATAGTACAAGTAGTTCAGTGTTGCGATCGAAAATAAATCGATAATCGATTGTTTATTGAAGCTAATTTATTGTTAGGTTCTGAATGTATACGATCGTATACACCGGTGGGAGACAACTGGGCCGCTGTCGACGTCACGGCGCCGCTCAAACTTGCGATAAAACGATATGAACTGGGCGTTCTATCTCCGATGCTGACGTCCTTGAAGATCGGCAGTTCTGTCACCGTGTCTGGTCCTTATGGCAATTTTCAACTTCAAAAGGTAACTTTATTCACGGTGCGTTTTAAAATAAAGGAAAGTAAAACGATAATACTATCTAAAACTATCAAATTCATCTTTATTTGTTGCAGCCAAATCTTATTAGCCATTACAGCTGGGTTTTAACTTTCATCTCTCTTTTTAAAAGTCTAATACTCGGTGTATTAGACAGTGTTTCACAGTGAATGTGTTATTTGTGATCATGTAATTTCCTTTCAGTTAAAAACAGTAAGAAAGATATTCTTGATAGCAGCGGGTACGGGGATCACTCCAATGCTGGGATTATTAAAGTTCATGCTGTCAAGATCGAACCCTCGATGGTAAATATATTAATTATACAAAACTAATTTAAAATATTTCTACTAATTAGTAGTTATAGAACTGTTGATACTTGACCTTTTTAGTTTAATTAAGAAATTCTTTAGATATTAAAACATTGTAATAATTAACAATGAAAACAAATTTAATTTATCAAAGTAATTTCTTTTGTCTATAATCAATAAGCTATTGTTTATTCATTTAAAAGTTAGATTACTTTATACTTGAAAGCTTTCAATAGTTGGAAGTTTACAATCCACTTTGTTACTTTTTGTTACAGTGAGAGAATAACTTTGATATTCTTCAACAAAACTGAACGTGACATTTTGTTTAGAGAGAATTTTGAAGAAATAATGAAACAAGATGACAGGTAAATGGCTTTCTGAATTACTTAGTATACTTTGAGATGGTCCCTTTTCATTAATTAGATGAAAAGTCTTGTGTTTTGGTGAATTATAATATTTATGAAAGCAAAAGCATTGTCTGTATTATTTCACTGGTAACGATGTATTTGTTCATAAAAAATATATAGTATTTTAAAAACAAACAATTATTTCATAGAAATATTAATTTAAACGTATAATCAATGATTATTTACGTCTGAGTTTTCCCATTCCCAGTTTACGTTGAATTGTAGCGTGGAAATGTCAAGGGCTTGTCTATTAAGTGGAAGATGTCCTTGGCAACTCCAAAGTTTGAACAACGCTCGCTATTTCTGTTATGCAATACGTGTTCTACACATATTGACACATGTATACTATAGTTTTATAGATTGCTAACTTAAAGTACTAATTGCAAGTTAGTTAAGATTTCACACTAAAAGTGATAAAAGCCCACATCAAAGAATCGTTGAGATTTAATAAAATCTACATTAAGTGGCCGTTTTTGCGTCTATTACACGATGTGTGCGGTTATCTATACTAATATAATAAAGCGTAAACACACACTACTTTGTTGCGTAGGCTGTCAGCAATCACAGTATATTTTTGAATAATCCTTTCTTTAACAAAAAGTCTTACACTTACGTCAAGCTTTAGGCTATATATTTTCACGCTATTAAACTTAGAGGATAAATAAATTGGACAAGCTGCCAACATCAAAGATTAAGATTGCTATGGTTTTGTCATCAAGTCATTTTGACATTTGCAATTAATGATTTGACAAATTTAAACAATAAAGTATTTTTTTTATAAATCCATGCGGATGAAGCCGCACAGGAATAGGTAGTCGTTAATATAACTGGACAGTTCAAATGTTGGTATATGATTTAACTCGCCTTATACGCAGTATACAGCATTAAATCCTACAGATAAAATAGCGTTGGTGAATTTTACTGATAATCCCTCTTTTCAGGCTTAACGTCACCCACGTGCTATCAAATGCGAGCCCGACGTGGGCCGGCCGCAGGGGACGGATAACTAAAGAGCTTTTATCCGAAACATTCGACGAATCAGCTTTTATTTCCGATGACGAGCTTTTAAGTTTCGCCTGTCTCTGCGGACCGACAGAATTCACGCACGCCGGCGTCGATATATTGAAAAAACTCGGTGTGAAAGAAACTTGTATACATGCCTTTATAGGATAAAATATAAATTAAAATAAGTATAGTTTGAAGTGTGTCTATTTTTCTTAATAAAGTACTTATGTAAATAGCAGCGGGTAAGGTTAATTAATACATGTATTGTGATTTCGTCCCAAGAGTGAGAAATAATTGCATACATATTAAAGAATAGCCTTAAAATAAATATTACCAAAGGTTATAGGCCCCTAATTACTAGAAATATTCGTATTTTTAATACTAAAATATTATTCAATTTTTCATCGTGTTACAAAATAGATAAACGAAAAAAATAAACACAATCGTCAGTACTAATCTTATGTACAATCGCGTAAATTGGCGGTGTTCTACTTTCAGTTTTTTTATATAAGGCAAACGAGCAAGCGGCCACCTGATTCACCGAAATGGTAAGCGACCGCTGCCCATAAACATCCGCAATCGCAGATGCGTTGCCTACCCTAAATTGACGGAGGAGGAGACGCACATAAACAGGACATTTCTCCTTCCTATGCGGTGGAAAGGGAAAGGGACTAAAATTAGACCTTTAGGATGTTGTCTTGTCATCATACAAACAAAGTAACCTATTAACCGCGTACCACTGACCGACCTTTTTTTAACAAACACATGTAAGCTGCGTCCTATAGGTTATTGTTTCGCGTCTTAAAACAAAAAAGTTAAAACTGCAACTTTTACAGAACAACACCGCCAGATTGCCCGACTGTACATTGTTTAACAAATGTATAAACAGCCAACTGTGAACAAACTCACTATACGCCCAATTCCTATGAATTCTCATTTTATTAACGGCGTAGCGTCCGCGTAGCATTTCGAATGTAATTTGTTATAAAATGAATAGAAGTTATTCAAACTGTATTACGCCACCATAGTCGAAGTTTTAACCAAATGTATATGGGCCTATTTATTACATATTTGCATATTAACGTAAAGCATACATCTATAAAATTATATTTTTAAATTTCCAATTGCCTATTGTAAATTATTATAAAACCGTGATAAATTAGATTAATAAAGCTACTAAATAGTAAAAATCGTCACAAATATTCTATCTGTAGTAAAGCATTTTTATACTTAGTTTATTTTAACATACAAATACGTTATGTTTCTGAAATGTACATTAATAATATCTTTAGCCAATAAACAAACAAAATTAAAATCTAATTATTTTATTTTGCTCTTATCTTATTTTATCATAAAATCAAAATGTATATTTATTTAATCAAAGTATATTTAAACTCGATTTTATGCAAACGTAATAACAATATTCGTTATTTTAGTCTATTACAATTGTATTGTTTCTGTACAGTTTCTCTGGAAAATATTTGTTGTATTATAGAATTTATATTTAAATAAAGTGCCTACATTCCAGGTGTTTCTATTATTTTATGTATACAATGTTTTTGTTACACAAGTAATTTAATGAAATTTTAATTAAATTTATTGCAAAAAAAAATGTTGTTTTCATTACAAACTTCTTGTTGTCTTTAATGTTAACTTCTGTACTGATCTTATTATATAAATGACCTATTGATACTTTTAAATATGTCAATTAACAATAAATCTATACTTCTATACTATACTAATATAATAAAGCGTAAACACAGACTACTTCGTGGCGTAGAATTCTTTCTTTAACAATAAGCCCTACATTTACGACACGCTTTAGGCTGTATATTTTTACGCTATTAAACATGGGGGTTAAATAAATTGGAAAAAAATCGTCATGTGGGAAATCGACCATAAAGTACAAGCTGCCAACATTAAGGAAGCAAGGCTGCCATTATTTACCATGTCATGTCATTTTGACATTTGTAATTGATAATTTGACAAATGTAAACAACAAAATTAAATTTTTTATAAATTTATGCGGATGAAGTCGCAAGGGAACAGCTATGTTCTTATAAAAAACTACGTGATACAAAATGAACGTAGTTTTAACTGAGCGTAACATGTTAGTTCAACAACTAGCTGGAAAGTTTTATCGTTAAAGTTGCCAGCAATCTACTCGGCTATTGAATTATGGACCTCGTCTAATATTGATTTACTCCAAATAGTTTTCATACTATGTACCTATTACTATTCTATTTATAATACGACGAAGTGTATTTATCAGACACTTTATGAAAAGCTATTTCACAACAATGCATATTCGAGAATTCTCATGTTTTCACTTATTTGAAATCTTATTGCTTGTCATTGTCTCTAAAACATTTGAGGACAAAAGATATTTTTTTACGCCAAATTCAAAAACTACCAATACCGAGGAAAATTATCTTTACCTCATCATCATCTCCTTATCCTACTCCCGTAGGGTCGGCGCAACAGGTTTTTGTCCTCCACATAACTCTATCATACGTCATCTCAGTCAGCACTCCCTTTTTGATCATGTCACCTTTTACACAATCCATCCATCTCTTTCTAGGTCTACCTCTACCGATGTACCCTTCCACACTCATAACTAACGTTCTCCTTGTAACATGCGATTCATCCCTCCTCATAACATGCCCATACCATGCTAACCTTTTACTCCTAACCTTCTCTATTATGGGGGCTACTCTCAAGCTTCCTCTAATATACTCATTTCGTATCTTATCCATTCGTGTTACCCCACACATCCATCTTAACATTCGCATTTCTGTCACATGTAGTCTTCTTTCATCCGTCCCTTTTACTGCCCAACATTCAGATCCATACATCATGACAGGTCTTACGACGGCCTTGTAAATTTTCCCCTTTAATTTAAGTGGAATTTGAGGGTCGCATATTACTCCTGTGACCTGTCGCCATTTCATCCATCCCGCTTTTATTCTATTTGTCATGTCACGGTCAATGTAGCCGTCGCTTTGGATTAATGAGCCGAGGTACCGGAAGTCGGAGCAAACTGGGAGATAAGCGCCATCTAAGGCAATCGAGAAAATTATCTTTACCTAAAGAAAGATTATTTTTCTTTCTTTAAGTTGACCGGGTGAAGTAATTATGTTAGATCTGAGGTAAATAAAACAGATTGTAAACAGACTCTCAAACTGACCTTCAATTCAATCAGAAGTATTAACGAATCAATAATAATTACTTTATTTCTGTATGAATCGTCAATGTCATATCTATCCAATTAATTTCTCTTTGTTTTAACAAATGGTACTGTATGAGTAAAAGGGCAGTCGTTAATTATACAATGACCTTGTAGAGTAAAGCTAGTTTCAGACTGACTGCTAAACCGAGTTGATTAACACGGGGATTTTCTAAGACAGGATTTTATGTCCTTCGAAATTGTTGGTTTAGCTTTAGAAAACATCCTTTCTAAAACGTTTTTTACTAATAGTTTTATGCGTTTTTGTACTTATTTGTATAATTCGATTTAATCAAGACTAATTTCAACTCAAAGTGATATCAATTATGTGTGAGAAATCTACTTATATTTACCCTTAGTAACTAATTATCGACTATTACGGCAATAAGTACCAAAGTTTATAAATTATGGCTTCCCAATTTTCCCAGTAAATGTAAGATGGTCCCTCGAGCATTGTTCGATTTGATGAGACTTGCCAACTTAGTAAGTGAAAGCCTTCAAGTTAGAGGATCCTTGAAACTCCCGACATTCAACAAACTTGGGTGTTTGTTCAATTTCCTATTGTAGTTATGATTAAAGGTAAATTAACATAACAATTTTATCTAATTTGTTTAGGAAATTAATTTAGAACTTCTTTGAAGTTGTCAGTCATCTATACTATTATAATAAAGCGTAAACACACACTTCTTTGTTGCCTAAGATGTCAGCAATCACAGCATATTTTTGAAGAATTCTTTTTTTAATACCCTACACCTACGTCATTCTTTAGGATATATATCACGCCATTAACTTAGGGGGTAAATATTTTGGATAAAAACCCTAACGTGGGAATGAGAACATAAGTTGCTGCCAACATCAAGAAACCAAGGTTGCCATGGTTTGTCAGCGTCATGTAATTTTGACGTTTGCAATTGATAATTTGACACATGTAAACAATAAATTAAAGTTTTCATTATTTTATGCGGATGAAGTCGCAGGGGAACAGCTAGTTCTTGGTAAAGTTCAATTTTAATTGAAATTTATCAAATAACAAAACAAAAGAACGAAGTCTAAATTAAACATGAGTATCTAATTTTATTTTTATTCTACAACATTTTAACACTGGCCACTAAGGACATCCTTTAGGTTTAGATAAAGTATAAACTCTATTAGGGAATGATAAGTTAACGATTTATTTTAATGCGTTGTTTGTTATTAGTTTACAAAAGTCTATATTTAAGGTCAAATGAGGTCGTAATATGCATTGTTGTATTTACTTATCGATTGCTTCGTGTAGCAGGGAGCGGCTGCGGCCTCGGTTATTGAATAATACATGTACGATGTGAGTGCCGAGCAAATCTCATTTCCCTCACTAAAAGGTTTCACAGAGAATGAGCAATTTAATTCCGTAACTAAAATTATCATGTTTGTTCATAAACTAAGAGTTTGCGAATCACTTAACCAATAAAATATAGTTATTTTCCTCATTCTTTGAAACAAAAAAGAAATTATAATAAAAAAAATCGTATATTTATTTAGAATAAAAGTTGCATGTGTACTGCAGATTAAAATTGTATAAAAAAACAAACCAACTGACCAAATCTATTCATTGCGAATGAATTTGTTCAATATGCATTTTACTGATACAATTTTCCTAGGTAAATTACAAACCGGCAGTGTTCAAGATTTGCTGGTAACTTGGATGAAATATATTCATCCCGTACTCGCTGTAAACACGGCGCGTGTTCATAATTAAAACAAACACGAAAGCTTTTTACTGAAAAACCCAACGGATAAAGCTATTAAATACGATCAACGTTAAAAGGGTAAATATGATATTAAATTTAAAATTTACCTCTTCATAGGTAAATGTGAGTGGACCAAAAGTTATCTCAATTCAGACTTATCATACTTCATACTAATATTAAATGGGATAGTTTAGATGGGTGGATGGATGGATGTTTGTTAGAGTTTGTAGCCTAAACGGCTGAACGATTCGATGTAATTTGTTACAGATCTAGATGATAGTCTGG